GACATGTCATATTGATCGTACACTCTAATAGCTCCATTTGGATAACGCCACGATGAACATGTTATGTTGATTTATCAGTAACTAACGATCAGTCATTTGCCGAAGTATCTTTAACTGTCAGCGTAGAGTTAACTGGACGACGTGAAGCGCTACAGAATCCTCCTCAATTTGATCAATCTTTACCATTCGACTGATCGTTGGCTACTGATAAATCAACATAACATGTTCGTCGTGGCGTTATCCAAATGGAGCTATTAGAGTGTACGATCAATATGACATGTCTGACGTCCTAATGTTTCGTTTGTTGCATGAGGCGGAGCGAATAGAGGGACAAAATTTTCACCGTGTAAAGCATAAATAGAGGCATTCTCTTCGCGTTCATAGTACATCAACATTTACAATCAAATTTTATTCATTGAATTTATTTTGAAAACATACATTTATATAAAACTTACATAATAATCTATCATTTAAATTATTTAATTATCATCATGCTGAAAGTAGATGCTTTTTTCCGCATAAAAGTTGTGATGGAAAGAATGTGCATACGTCTACACACTTTAGTTCATCTAAATAGACTAATCAGCTAGCAAAATTTGTTCCATTCTACCAGGTCATAGCTGCACAAGTCAGAGCTTTTCAAGTCTGAAGTGAAGTGAAGTCAATGAAAACGTTCTCCGCGTCAGTCAAGTCAAGTCAGCAGATCAAAACAAATTTTCTCTAGTCAAATCAAGTCATAGGTGATTAATCGTAAAAAATTGAATATTGCACTGTTGCAGAATCCGTAGTATGGATTGAATAGCTACTAAATTATGTTTTCCATTTGAAATAACGTTAGTTCAATAACATATCGTACAGTTCCATTGTATAAATAATAATGACTTTTTAGTACAATATTTTAATACCTTAAAACAATGATATAATTGTTGCTGTTATTTCAACAGACAGATGTTGTCATAACAAAAACTAATTATTCACATATCCTCTCATATGTATATAAACTAGAACTAAAATTACATTTTAATGATAAATAAAAATGCCAATATTTTCAAAACATAGCACAGCACGGATTTTAAACTTCATTGGTCATCTTCTCCGTCTTTCATCATTATGTCCGGTTACATGATCTATCAACAATTGTTACATCTATCTAGAGAGAAAAGAATACGAAAGATAAATGACCTCCTACAGATCTCATAAAAAGGCAGATGGCCTTTTCCTTTACTAAAAAAAATCATCATTATCATATTTCTCTCCCAATTGAAAAAAATAACATACTAAATATACATCCTGTATTGTGCATGATTCCATATGTTCAATGGCTAGTGTCAATTATCTATAGCGGTAATATGATGAAGAAAGATCAATACTAGACTGTTTTTAACGTATGCTGAAGTAATCGAAGGAGAATTATGATTAGTACAATGCCGTCAAGAAACAATCTTTTCGTCTTTTGAGATTCACAGGAATCGAGGGATCAAACATAATGCAATTTTAATGAGTTAAAGTCACACAGCCATGCTTTGTGAAGGAAATGTTACCAATTAACGAATGTGTCATAATAAACTGGACTAAATATTATTGCATTTTTTTCGTACTTCCTCTTCAAATAAAACGTTTCTTTACATACCAAAAGATAGAGAATTTCAAGCTCTATAAAGCCTACTATTCGAATCTCTGAGAGCACTTTTCTCATTTGAGCACCATTTAAAATATTGAAGAGGGCTGAGTTGTCGAACTGCGACGTACTTTTGTCGCCTTATTTTTTTAGATTTTTAGCACATTATCTGAAGTTCAATAGTTAATTTTTCTAGGTAGAAAGATAGAAAATTTTGCGCTCTATCGATCTCACTCATTCACAATCTTATACAATGTTTCCACTACGTCAGTTGATCTCATAATTAGTTCTCAACTGGCTTTTCAATTTTTTCAAATTAAATTAATTTTTTTAATTAATGGTTTCAATTGAGAAACTTTGTTTATATATCAAAAGACGTAGAATTTAATCCTATGTAAGATAATAAGACTAAAACCCTGGATTCAGAAAGTTTTACTGCTTTTATAGTCCAAAAACTAAATTCTGTGAAAAATAGATTCAAAAGTTAGGTTTTTTTTTAGATTTATCAGCTTTTTGCATAGAGAAATTTTCCTAGAAGATTTAACTGCAAAATTTCGAAAAATATGTGAGAAGTTGCAGAATTTTCCGGTGAATCTTCTGATGTTTCAAAAATCTTATGGAATCTATTTTTGGATCAAGACAAATGTTTTTCTATTTTCAGTGTGTCACAGTTCAACAACTTAACACTCTTCAATATTTTGAATGGTGCTCAAACGAGAAAAATGCTCTCAGAGATTCGAATAGTAGGTTTTGTAGAGCTTGAAATTCTCTATCTTTTGGTATGTAAAGGAATTTTTTATTTGAAGAGGAAGTACGAAAAAAATGCAGTAACATTTAGTCCAGTTTATTATGGCACACCCGTTAATGGGTTGAAAAACTCAACCCATCGAGGGTACACCAAGTTGCCTCCAAACGTAAAAGTGCTCAGAGCGTAATTTAGAAATGTTTCTTTAAAACCTATGACTTATTGGTATTCTTCAATCCAGTCTTAAAATTCTTAATAAGTTTCTTGAGAGGTTTTAGCGATTTATTTTTTGGCATTTTAAAAGAAATTAGATATCAGATCATGCCGCAAAATAGTGACGATGTTTAGATTTCATATTTTTGATTCTAATGAAGATTTTCATTTCAAATATATTTCTTGATTGATAAAACAGCTAAATGTAAATTTGCTGAATTTTCTACATTATGTTTTAATTTCAGACCCATAGGAAGTGTTTCTTTTCGTTTGAGAAAGTGCCATTGCATTGTTGTGCTATTCTCGATTGTGTTCCTTTTCACTGATGTGTTCCTTGTCATTGATTTGCTCTCTTTATTATTTTTACAATGAACGAACAAACACGTTGATGTAATAAAATATGTTTTTTAAATTAAGTCATATAATATGTTTTCAATATCCGTGATATGAAAGAGAAAGAGAGAGAGGGAGAGAGGCAGATTACAATTTTGAACAAATTGACACTTGTGTTTTCACATGTTAACTATTGAAGCGTTTCTCTCTCTATACATTCTCGGTCTAATAAATTTTGAACGGAAATTTATTGAATGTTCATCTGTGTCAAATAAAAACATGAATCGGTGAATATTTAATTCCCTAAATGACTATTATAATCAAGCATGACGATGATAGTCAAGTGAAAATCAAAAAAAATGTCACGTTTTTTTAGTTTCCGCTAAGAAATTTTATTTTTTATGTAATTTTGTGTTACAGTCGATAGATAACCAGTGTTTCTATTATAAAAATATCAAATATCTAAACTATGTACAGAAAACTAATCACTGTTTTCATTCAAAAAAAAAACAACACATAAATAAAAAAAACAAAATGTTTATGTACAATAAATAATAACAATGAACAAGTCTTATAATATACCATCATCATCAATGTTTATTTCTTCATCATCAATGTCCATATCCATTTCTTCGATTGTATTACAAGGTATTGATGAAATGAGATTGTCCAATGTATTTTCTAAAATTAAAAGAGAAAAAAAATTTAGAATAAAATAAATTTTCAACTTTTTATAACAAGAGATTATTAGCGACTATTATCTGAAAATTGACAACTGCATACACGTTTGTATTAGGTCATTTTTTTCTACTATGAATTAATGAAACAGTAACTAATGGAATGTATACTCTTTTCTCATATCATGGACAAAAATTTCGAATGATTTTCCATTTTTATTGTATGTATCTCTGATCTGACAAGCAGAATTCAATTTTATTTGATTAAAAAGACAATAGATTTCCTTTTCCTTTTTTTTTCAGATCAATAAATTATGACACGTTGAACAAATATATATGATACAAATATTATTTTCAAGATTCTCTGAGTATATGATCAAAAGCATACTGAGATTGGATTCACGCGTTGTTATTATTATTTTTTTTTTTGTTGAGAAATAAAATCGGATGCACGAAACATGCATAGTTAACGTGTGTCAACACATCTCATAACAAGAGAAAACGTTTAGATATACATCAGGTTGTGTAAAGTGACTTTTGTCACCTTTTTTTTGCTCCACTTTTACTTGAATAAACAAATACCGTAACGAGAGAGAGAGAGAGAATGTATGAGCAAATTGCATGATATGTTGTGCCATACAATTATTATCCTCACTAATAAACTGATGACACATCAGCTCTTAATGATGCACATCAGACAATAACTGAACTTCATACTTCGATAAAACATGATTCGTTTGCATGATATGATAGTGGACAAAGATAAGCGTTAAAATGGATTTACACTTTCAACATGCTCAATAAAAAATATCACTGTATGAATGTTCGACAGATCAGCTATCATGAAGAATAGTGTTACCAAGTAGCTAAAATCATATCCCCCCTCTCTTCCTCTTTTTTTCTCGAGGATACTAGTTTTCCAGACAATTACATTAAGTAAGTATGATTAGCGGTGCTTTTTCATATGGTACTGAACATATAATTGATTTTTTTTTCTTCTTCTTATTACAAAGTTTAATTAACTCTTTTAAGTATCACATAATTGCCTATTTTAAAATATGATTTTTTCACTAAAGTTTGAACAATGTCAACGTGTTCACCTTAAACCTTGAATGCCTTTTTTCATTCAATAGTAGGAAGAAAAAATGGAATTGTTTCGCAATCTAATCAGTGATTCCAATATGAAATTTACTAACGTTTATATCATACTCATTGACTAATGATCTTATGAGAAAAAAAATATATATAAAAAAACTTACCATCATGATGTGTTCGCATGTGTGATCTTAAATTACATGCTAATGAAAATTTTTTATCACATTTTCGACATTCAAATGGTTTTCGTCCACTATGAATTAGCATATGATTTTTCAAATTTGTCTGTTTAGAAAATCCACGTAAACATTCTGTACATCGAAATGGCCATGTACCATTATGAACATGTGAATGACATCGTAGATCACCGGGTGTGGCAAAACTTTTTGGACATTGTAAACATTTATGTGGTTTATCCTATAAAATATGATAATATGATTAGATAAGATAGAGCAAAAAAACAACAACAGTTAACACTAACTTTTTGGTGTGTTAATTTATGATAATATAAATTACTACTGGCTGTAAAACATTTACCACATGTATCACAAATGTGTGGTTTCTCACCACTATGTATACGACGATGAGTATTCAATGAACTTGATGTTGAAAATGCTTTATCACATACATCACATGCATGAGGTTTTTCACCTAAAATAAAAAGATAATATAATTTCTAACAATAATAATTAAAATTATGTTTTATTTTACCGGTATGTGTTCGTATATGTCTAGTTAACAATGATGGACGATCAAATGATTTACCACATCGATCACATGTCCACATACGACGTTCTTTACGAGGTTGTTTCATGAGTAACTAAAAAAAAAAGATTAGATAGATATTAAAGTATATAGCATAACATACAGTTTTAGAATTTCTGAGACTTACATTGTTTTCATTCTGTTGTGTACATGACAGATGTACAAATGATGATTGCTGTTGTACTTGTGTTTGAAAAATAGGAGATGATATATTTTGATTCTGTATTTGAAGACCAAAATGTCTTTTAGGTGGTACTATTGGAGTTGATACTTTTTTCGGTGTTGAGGATGAAATAGGTTGAAGTTGAGATAAAATCATATTTTCTTTATTTGGGCATAAATGAAATGCACTTATTGAATGGTGATGTTTGGCTAATGATAGTGAAGTAACAACAGATACTGATTTTGAATTAGACGATGAGAGAATATTGTCAATTAAAAATGATGAACTAATTGATAAACGTTTATCAGACATCCTAGAGAAGAAAAATACTTAGAATAAAGTTTATGATTTTTCAAGTCATTTTATAAGGTTTACCATAAACTCCTTCATCGTCCAGCTACTGGACTCTAGATGAATGATCTGTTTTATCCGAAGCGTGCTGTATGTATATACATATCAATAACAAACTCATCAGTTACATACCTTTTATTTGTAATTGTTCAATATTATGGCGTCACAAGATTAACTTTATTTTTTAGCTGAAGGACAAGGTCGAATTGTTGATCGATCGTTTGCTCAAATAATGATTAATATTACGATAGTATTACGTCGACGATTACGTTATGTTACGGAGAAAAAGAAAAGCATATTTTTCATTTTTCTCTCTCTCTCTCTCTTTTTCTCTCTTCTTTTCGTGTTCACGTAATCAAGACGAGACATACTCGATAATTTTATTCGTTCTTCTTACATAATGAACATATGTTACGTGTATGTGTGTCATACTGACCCATTAGAAAAGAAAACCAATGACACATTGAGAATACAGTGAGATCATTAACCAATAAGATCGTAGAGAATCAATTGATCAGTGAATAAAGATCGATTTGTGAACCAATAACGATGAGAACCCATACAGTTCATTTCGTAGTCTTTGTTGAACTTAATCAATATCGAAGATAGAAATCAACTCATAGAGAGAAACAGTAATGTGATGAAGGAACGCATAATATTTAGTTAAAGCCAATATTTCTGTACTACCATAACGATCGAATCTCATCTCAGCAAGACACCATTCAAGCTTCCTTGACTACTGTGTTGATTTAAAGAAGAATATTCCACTTTGCTGTATCGTTGCAGGTGTTAACGGAGTCAGTTTGTCTAGCCTGATATTTTTTCGACAATCGATACCTTTACTAGTCAATAAAGACAACTCTGTTATGTGCCTAGCCAGAAGTAGAGCTCTTTCACCTATTTACTTGAGCTTCCTTTAAAGCATTATTGACAACGAGCATCCATGATGCCAAGTTCTTGTTAACATAAGAACTAAGCAGAACAACTGCGTAGAGCCAAGAGAAGTTGGAAGGAAAACGATGACATTTTAAATGAATTTGTGATAGACTCACTGTTTCATTTTGCAAACCCACAGTGACAAAGTGGAGAAACAGTATTGTTCACCACAACGCAGTGAGTATGATATCGGACACGGCTAATTTCAGACGCTAAAACAAGAAGCATTTGTTCAGCATTCCTAATGCACTTGTCAAACACACCAGTTTGAAGTGCCAGTCAATTGATATAACTACCAAGCTCCTCTAATTTCATCTGATTGACTAAGGATGACGTCTACGAGTTTTTCAACTTAGAGTTCGGTATTAGCAACCTTGTTGTTATGCCTTTAGCCTGTTCTGTGTGAAAATGTTCGATCTCCTTAGATCGAATGTGTAGACGGTAAATTTGATTTTAATTGAACATGAGTAAAAATAAAACATTTTGTTCAACTCATAGACTCTGATTTCTTTGAGGTGATTAAAAAAGTAAGTTTGGTGACATATACCTCAAAAGTTAATTTCATTTGCAAATATAAAAATTAATTAACATAAAAAAAAACATTTAATGAATGTTGTTTGTTTCAATTTGCACAGGAAACAGACATGACCATTAAAAACAAATATAATCATCCTCTCTCTATTTATAAATCTAATTATATTTATTTGTTTTCTTATGTAAGTTACCGACATTTTTCCGTGTTGTACTCATAAAAATTGTGTCACATCATAGTCTGTCACGGTTTAACACTTTTATAGAAAGAGATCAATGTAATGTTTGATCTCAAAATAGAAAATGGAATAGCTATGAAGCAAAAGATGAGCAAAAAGAGTACTCTATCACCCACCAAGACAAAACTAATCCGATGGCGTCAATTATAAGAAATGTATCAATCAAATATGCGATTGATCAGACAGTATGCATGACGTTGTTCAAGTACCTCATTATTACGAGAATACTCTATCTACTTTGCTATTTTGTGTTTTTTTGAAGGAACTCTTGAAAATTCAATTTTTTTTTTTTGTTAAGAAACTGATTATAAACATAATCATTCATAATGAGTAAATTAAATGGCACACTTAAGCAACATTTCGATACCTAGAGAGATCATATATGTTTCACTTGTCGGGTAATGATATGGATTTCATTAGTTTAAGCTGAAGATGTGCATTCGACTTTTGTTTTATCAATTAAGTCTGTTCTTTCTCACGAAATTTCTTGATTTGAGAGTAAGATCCATTGATGAATGTAATTTATTCTATACTAATATGTAGAATCATGCATAAGATTTCAATTTTTTATATCTAAAATTTTTTATAATAAAAAAATACCATTTCGACCGTTTCATAATATTAACCATTGTTTCTGCTATTCTAATATTCGTCCACATTAGTTTAAAAAGAAGCCGTTCACATGAGATAGAATGAGTGCAAAAGTATGATTTTAATTGACCTTGATAGTCATTTACTTTTAGAATCGTTCTGCTAGTGTATCGTAATACAGTTTTATAACCTAGTACACCTGAAAAATCGTTTGATGCATCAATTAATTCATCTAATTATCATAAGAATGTGACATTATTTGATGAACAATCATTTTCAGTCTATATCTAATTTATTATTCATCTACTGTGTCGATGCCTGGTGAGTAAAGATAGTTCTCTACATCTTCATTTTCATTTTTCTCATTTAAAATTTATTGTCACCGTTATGTGATTTTCTGTTGTTTTTTTTTCATTTTTTTTTGATATCTGTTGGAGAGGTTATATAGTAATATTTATTAGTACTAGAGTGTCTAATCAACAGCACATCGGAGATTAATTTTCAAAGAATTTTATATATAGATGATAATAAGCAGGATATCTAATTAAACATATGTGATGAGACGAACGATAAATTTGAAAAATAGTTAGAATAGAGATGTGAAAATATATTGAAGAAATATTATAAAATGAAGATGAAAAATGTTCATTTGTTAAATTGATGTATCAATCAATATGGTTGATTCAATACGAAATCGATACTTGTGACGAAGTAACCGATGTTTTAAGTTAAGTTACCTAATAATAATATCATTAGGATTACAGTAGAATTGTTTTCTATTACAGAGTCAAAAGAAAAAAATGTTATTCGTTTTCACTATATTTAATAAAAGATGCGATAGTTCTGTTTCTTTAATATTTATAGGATTAGGATTTTATATCCTATTTTGTAACACGTTTACACAATATGAGTCTATCTTTCAATCCAATTTAATATTCTGTGATCAAATTTACACATTACAAAGAAAGTGTAAAGGAATAGAGGTGTGGTTGAATAGTTTGAACTTTATTGAGTCACTTTTGTTTCTAATTTTTTCTAAGTGTTATTTATACGGACATGAAAATAACTGAACTAGAAAAAAGCACATATTTGAGCTCAGAATGATTAATTAGACAGTTTATAATTCTCTTTTTTCTTTATTGTTTGAGTATAATTGAACTCAGGACATAGTATATCTGCTGAGTACGTATAGTATCGGATTCTGTGTATTGCCCATTGTCTTTCATACTACTTTTGACAAGAAAAATGTGTCTTTTACCAAAAGATGGAGATCATCTCGAAATTACGTATTTTGAACTTTGAAAAAGTATATATATAGTACTGTACAAACAGCTTTACTTTAAGTTGAACTACTATTTTTAAAATGACCTTACTTAGTATTTACTCAACATCGCAGCTATTTGGTAAATGCAAAGAACGAGGATACCGGAAAAAAATGAAATTAGTACTATCAAAAGACTGAACTTTTTTTGTTATTTTTGTTGATATTTGCTATGTTTTTCTTACAAATATGAGTAAAAAGATAAAAACTCGTAAGAAACATTCTATAGGAAATATTAGAGCGAGTTTTAGAATTATAGACAGTCCGAGCTCGATTCTACAAAAACAATAAAGAAAACGAAATTATAAATGGGCTCATTTGTGGTCGAAAGAGCAGATAATTTACACTTTTTGAATTCCGGACTCATTTCTGTCTTTTTTTCTGAATCCATTCCAAACTCAATTATGAAATTTTCCTATTTATACGCGCCGTACACATTGTTGCACACATTAAATGAACAGAATATTATGAACACTAAAATATTCAAGATTTTAGTGAGAAAATGAAATCAAGGATGGCAGTATTTCACAAGTGATAAACAATGTTTATGTTAAACAATGATATTATTTTTACTCAACAAACATTGGTTTGCCTTTCGTTCTATAACTATACGAGATAGAACGATAACATCTATTTTTACTGTTAAAAATGAGTAATTAGCTAATATAGAATATTTAACAGTATATTCTACTGTTTAAGTATTTTAATGAATGATGACGATGTTTGTCCCGTTGGAATATCATGAGAACATATAACCGATTGTTGCATCTAAAATATCACTAAACAAACATGAATAATTATTTGTTCTTCATCCGTACATTTCTCATTGATTTTAATCTAAAATGTAATATTGAACACACGTTATCTATTATTATATTTATTTGATCTTTGGAGTATATTTGTAAAATCAAGTAGAAAAAACAACAAAGAAGACAAGAATTTTTCTTATCATATTTCTTTACTGATGCATAATCAGTTAATAAAAAAAATTCAAGAAGTACTGTATACAACATCAATATTAATATATAATAGGCAACTTTATTAAATTATACAGTTTTTATGAGAAATAGAAGCAAAGTTTCCTTGAACGGTTGATATTGTTGTTGATACTTAACATAGAATTGGATCAAAATGATGTAGAATTTGAAAATTTCGTTAGACTTTCTTAATTCCTATGGGACTATTAGACTTTTTGCGTAGCGTGAGAGCGAACCACAAGATAACATATATAATCGGTCTCTGTATCAGATGTGTATTCGTGGGATTATCAGAGAAACCAATTGTGATTTCGGTTTACTGTCAACAGACATAGCAACTGATTGCTTATAGACAACTAAGTTGGAAAAATAAGAAAATGTGATACACATTCTGTTAGAACACTAGAGAAAACAGTAAACAGGACTTTCCTGTTTTGTAAAGGTCTAAAAACTTAATAGTCTATGAAAGTTCAAAAGTGTAAATGAATTACACACAGGTAGGATGGAGATGTAGAAGAATAGTGTAAAAGCTATTCTTGTGTTATACTAGGTGAAAAATGTTCTACAGTTCAGCATGTTTAGCAGAAAATACTTTTTGTCTATAAAAGTTCTCGTATGAGCATCCTATCTCATATTATCATTGTATCTAATGTTACATTTTCCACCTAAATATTATTACAAAAATAGAAGGAAATTTGTTTATATGGTGTTAATTGGCTAAGGGGGATCGTCTCTTCTGTATTATCATTAATATGTGATAGTTGTTTTGATGTTTCAAATTGAAATGAGATTAATATTGTCATGTAATTCACACGTCAGTGTTGATTTACGTTCAAACATAAATATAATTTAGATATGTCTCTCTCTCTCTCTCTCTATATATATATATATATATAAATAAATGCATACTGTTTGTTCTTAATATATCCCTTAAAGGCACATACTACATTTACTCACATAATCTTGTGCTTGAATTAGAATAGATTGACGCAAAAAGATCATTATGAAATGAGTTTCATAGCTGATATCTTACGTTCAAACTATTCGTGTTTTATGACAATACTGAAATTAACTTGTAGTCTCAAAATATTAATATGGATAAAACATAGTTGATAGGCGTGAAAGATCAGCATTGAATGTGAATAGTGATGATAAGCTGCTTTTCAAACACCTTGGTTTAAGCTTTTACATACTCAACTAAATTACCTACATTCTTGTTCGTCTCTTCCATTCAATAAGAACAATACGGAAAAGTATATCGTGCCAGGGAATGCATTAAAAAAAAAGTTAAGTATCATCCACGTGTAATAAGTGAAAGGTCATTTCACCATAGTGGCTTTCGAGTCAAGATATATATACGTGATTAACTTGTTTAAGTGAACGAAAATGGAGCCATGTATGTAATTATGAACAGCAAGTGATTACGCAGTATGAGAGAGAAAAGCGAAGAATAATTAGGTGACAT